TGAGGCAGATTCCTGTCCTCATCACAAACCACCGTCACACAGGTCAGTATCACATCTGCTCTACTTCTAACATTGAAAAGAAAAAAGTCTCTACCAAGTTGTAAAAGTTAATGTTTTTAAATGATATTTGCTGCATTTTGTTATACTTTGTTTGTTGGTTGTCTTTGAAACATATTCACCAGATGCTGACATGAACTCCGCTCCTGGGGACAGAAATGTGACGATGGTTTTGAATTATCAGGCCTTTGTGCAAGTTTTCAGCAAGAATGTGACTGTTGTCATCCTGGGCATCACCATCAACTACATCAATGCCACCATGATCTACACGTTCAACAGGCATCATGTGTGTACAGTTGTGTTATCAGTTAGAAACATATTAGTGCAGCATACGTATGATGCTTTTATTCCATGTCGGCTCTTCTTGCTGTTGTCTGCACACAACTGTGGAGAAACTCAAGTCAATATGACAACTGTCAAATAATGAATAACTAGTATCTGAAGTTAAAAATGTATAAAATAAACATTACCCTGATGCTGCAGTTGTAATCTCTGCTGGGTGAATACTTAAACATGCAATATTACTTGGATATTTTTATCATAATTCAATAAATTAGAATGTGAAAAAAATGTGAAACAACGCTTAAATACATAATTTTAGATATTTAATGGCACTGTCATAGTGGTTTAAGTTTTAAAACATAATATATAACTAATTGTAAAACAGATGTTTAAGTCAGTGACTACAAAAAGAGAGATAATAGTCGTTACTAGTTCTAAGACAGCTTTTGTAATTCAGGTACAGATGTGTCATTTACTGTAATCTAACCCCCGATTCTGTCGTCCACGTCAGATCTTCAAACTGAACCCTCGCTACATCCTTTTCATCCACCTGGTGCTGAACGACATGATCCAGCTGACCACCAGCATCACCCTCTTCGTCGTGTCCTACACCTTGCGCACCATCCACGTCTACGTCTGTTTACTGTTCATGGTGCCGGCCATTCTCACCACACAGAACACTCCGCTGAACCTCGCCTTTATGGCAGCAGAGTGCTACATTTCTGTCTGCATTCCCCTCCGCTACAACTACATATGCACAGTCAAAAGAACATATGTTGTCATTGGCACAATCTGGGCTATAAGTTCAGCTTCTGTCCTGCCAGATGTCTTCATTATTTTTGCCACTGAACAGCTGGAGTTCTTTCACACCAGAGTGTACTGCAATAGGGACACTACGTTTAGGAGCAGCTACAGTAAAAGCAAGAGGGATGTGTCTCACATTGTGTTACTGGTGGTGGTTTGGCTCACGCTGTTCTACGCTTACTTCAGAATTTTGTTTGTGGCCAAAGCTGCTAATGCAGAAGCTAAAAAGGCGAGAAACACCATCCTGCTCCACGGGTGTCAGCTGTTGTTGTGCATGGCACTCTATGTGCAGCCGATGCTCATTCAGGCTCTCGCGCTTGCATTCCCTGCAGGGTTACGTTACACAAACTTCCTTTTGTTTATCACGAACCAAGTGCTTCCTCGCTTTGCAAATCCAATTATCTACGGGCTGCGCGACAAGACCTTCAGAAAGTATTTTAAAAGATATCTGTGCACAGTTAAAAGCCATTCAAAGATATCACTGAAGGTGTCTTAAACCTCTGAGTTTTCTTTTATTGCATTTTTCCTTACTGTGGGCTCGTTTTTCACTCAGTATAAAGTCCTGCACCTCCATGGAAACTGTACAGCCATGTACTGGAAGGTCATAAATCCGTAAAAATAAATAGAAAAATAAATAAAAATTCTGTGACTATTTACTTTACACAAGTAAAATAACATCCATCCATTATCTAATCACCGCTTAATCCTCACTAGGGTCATGGGGGGCTGGAGTCTATCCCAACTGACTCAGGGTGAAGGCAGGGGACACCCTGGACAGGTCACCAGTCTATCACAGGGCTACACTTAGAGACAGACAACCAAGCACACTCACATTCACACCTACAGACAATTTAGAATCACCAATTAACCTCAACATGTTTTTGGACTGTGGGAGGAAGCCGGAGAACCCAGAGAGAACCCACGCTGCACGGGGAGAACATGTAATATGTCCCCTCACTGGGATGCAAACCGGCAACCTTTTTGCTATAAGACAACAGTGCTAACCACCGCGCCACCTTGCAGCCTCTAAAATAACATGTGAAACATTTTCCCTCGTCCCCACAAGTGTTACGGATCTTAAAACTAACGGTGATTCTACATCTACACTGTTGACCATAAAGCTGGAATAAAATATTTCTTTTTTACCTCTTCTCATGAAATGATTGTGACAATGTGATTTATTCTTGATAGATAAAGTGTTGATCTTTTTAAAACTTTACTGATATCGTAATATACATATATCACAGTAAAAATGAAATCACAATTAACTTGTGCAAACTGTGTTTTCAGGCTTAAACACAATTGGGGCTCTTGAAGAATAGATAAAGAGTTTTGTTTAAATTTTTCAACCTTGGTCATATAACAGGAAACATGTATTTTACACGGACATTACTCTTTCAAATGTCACTAATATTGAGTATGGCCACTCCTGACATCGTGGCTTACTGTCCATAAGCTGGTTGATGGTGTCAATGTGCAGGATGTCCCAATCTTCAGTTAGATCCCAACGTCAGAATTTGTTTCCCCTGGACAACTGGGACTCAGCATGTAATTATTACACCTGGTCAGAAGTGATCACTGATGTGCATAAATAGAAATAGAAGAGGAATGTGTCTGAAAACAAAAATCATTCCAACTTTATGGGCAACGGTACGGAGCCCGTCTGGTGACATCGATACGAAATAAAAATAACTCGTTCCCACGCATTAGTAAATTGTGGCCTCGCATTACTATTATGAAGAAACAAGAGAAGTTGTGGAGCATATTTCACAGTGCAGTCATACCAGCTGTCGATTAAGGATAACGGGCGTACTTGCATGAAACATGGAGCATTTTGATTTCATTTTATTTTATTTTAACCTTGGAATGAACTCCACAGATATCCTGTGATCTCTTGCGATGAAACACTGTGTGATAACTATGTCGTTCCCACGCAATAATAACTCGTGGCCACGATTTACTTATGCGTGGGAACGAGTTATTTTTATTTCTTATCGATGTCACCAGACGGGTTCCGTAGCAACGGTGTATAAACCTCTACAAACTAGGCTTTTTCTAGAAGGATATTTAACCTCTATTACCGTTCTTTTAAAAAAAAAAAAAAATTCGTTTAAATACTTGCCTCTGCTCTGTGTACATATAGTGATATAGTTTGCAGTTCATCCCAACAGTCCTTACATTTTTGATATGTGACTGTTAAATGAGACCGAAAGAATAATGTGATTTTAATAAAACATTACTTTTTGTGCATTTCATTGGTAGGGTTAGCTGAAGGAGGGAGGAGAGTGCAGGGGCAACATGCAACAAATCACCATGAGCTAAAATCCAACCAGGGCTACTGGGTCAGGGAACATAGGCCATACACATTGGACACCTGCTTATTCAGGTGAGCAATAGTAACACCCAGAAATACCTTGATTCTGAGCTTAGATTTGGTCACGTTTTCCAAAGGATTTGCACATCACATGATTAGTTCACAGTCCTTCAGGCCCTAATATGAAAATTTGACAATTCATTCTGCTTCTACAGATTCTTGCTCTAATACATGGCCTATTTGGGGGATTTTTTAAAAAAACAAAACGAAACAAAACATGATATATGCTTTAAAAACTGTCTGGTAATGCTAAATTGCATGAATAAAAACATGATAAGTATCAATAAGGCTCAAATGATCCACTTTTGAAAGGAGGGTGCACGATAACCACAAGCAAAAAAAGTTAGAATCAGCATCTCTTGTTTGGTCACTGGCCTGATCAGATTAACAGACATGAGCACATGTTGGTTGTCATGTGTAAGTTAACCTGTCCTGTTCACTGCAGCTATAGCTTACTGTCATTGGTTATCTAAACTAGAACTGGGCTGCAAGGTGGCTCGGTGGCTAGCACCATAACCTCACAGCTAGAAGATCCATGTTTAGAACTGGAGATTCTAAATTGTCTGTAGGTGTGAATGTGAGTGTGCTTGGTTGTCTGTCTCTAAGTGTAGCCCTGTGATAGACTGGTGACCTGTCCAGGGTGTCCCCTGCCTTCACCCTGAGTCAGCTGGGATAGACTCCAGCCCCCCTGCAACCCTAGTGAGGATTAAGCGGTGTATAGATGATGGATGGATTGATAAACTAGAGCTGCCACTTTAAAAGCCTCTGCTGTTTGAGGGTGAAGGCCGGTGAAGTGTCAGAAATTCTGTCGAGATCAACTCGAAACAGCCGAGATGAATGAACAGAAAAGTCCAAATAATGCTTGAGTCATGCAGAGTCTGGTGCAAGAAGGTTTAAAAGGGAACGACTGACAGCTCAAACTAAACTCTCTTCTCTCCGACACCTGCTTCTATTTTTTGGGGAGGGGGGGCTCCTCCTGTATATGGAGTTGTCCTTCTTCTTCTTCTTTTGAAATTCTAGTCTTGGGATGGAATTGAATGTGCCAACTCTTAGACTGTCTCTGTCCTCAGCTGAGACATCTTTTGGTAAATTTCATCATGACTCTGCACTTCTCTATTTTTTCTCTTCTTCCCCCTGTTCTTGACGCCTCGTAGCAAGTGCTTCCGTTTCTTTCTAAATCTTCTTTAGACTTTGACTTCCTCCCTTCCTGTCCTGCTCCAGTTCTTTCAACCACAAAGCATCTACAGTAATATTTCAGGTAATGCAATTTTCATGCATAATCGTACAGACGTATTTTAGGTCATTTAGTCGATCCAGTGATCAGTAAAACACTGGTGACCACAACTTAGTATAGTGCCATTATTCACTATTTTGTGTGTTTTTTTTAAACAGTTAATTACTTTAGTCTTATTTACAATCGTCTACATTGTAGTATGAGTTCACTGTTTAATACTGTCTAGTAATATTCTGTCTTTATATAGTGTTGCCACTTTAATCAGCATTAACTATAGCTGTAGTTAATTAGTTGTTGTAAATTACATTTTTGGTCTTTTAAAATGAATAAAAACTACTGTTAACTGAAGACATGTGCCATAAATAACAATTTAATCTCTATGATCCAGAATTGAGATCTAATTCTAAAAATCTGAAAATGCTTTTTTAGTGTACGACCTGATGCTTGCTAGGATTACACCAAGTTTTCATTTTCACTTCAATAATTGTTTTGTTGGTCTCAGGAGGGAGGATAAATGTCAGTTGTTGCATGTGGTTTCCTCCATAATCTAAAACAAAAACTACTTCATTCACAGCATGATTTTTATGGAAACCTGCTGTCAATGGTCATTCTTGTTTTTGGCTGTAAACAGCATCACCGTCCATTTAACTGTGTTTTGGTAAAACTGTTCACCACTGGTAGAATTTCTACAGTCATTTACAGTGTAGTTAATGGCAGCATTTGTCATGTTGTCTTTAATCAGACTCTCAAACCACTAGTGGCAGGCCGTGCATTTCACTCCCAGGCCTTCAGTGGCATCCTACCTGAACCAAACCACCGTCTTTATGACGCCATAGAATCATCAGTATTATGCAGAAAGGCAGCATTACAGGACGTTGGACCACACACAGGTATTCATTCTTTCTTTATTTCAAACATATTAAAAAAAATAGAGAAAGAAAAGACAATCTCATCTCAAGGTATTTCATTTAGCGAGGATAAATGACATGACTAAAGCAAGAAACCCAGTTAAAACATTTCAACAAGTCTCTGTTCACTGCAGCCACAGCAGCACCACATTCATCACATCAGGGTTCTCACCACGCTATTTACCTGAAGAAACATGCTGTGTCTTGGCCCGCTACGCTGTCTTTCAAGCTGCGTGTTTGGAAAAATTGAAATGTTTTCCAGTAAATCGTACAAATTTTCCAAAGAAACTCATTTCTCTACCATCGTTTTCGCTGTTAACGTTGCTATTCGTTAGCTAACGGGGGGAGTGTTGTGAACACTCACTACGCTAACAGGAGCATCAATATCAGCCCGATAAAATGACAAAAATATATGTTTTACTCACCAAAACCCGGGTTTATTTGAACACAAATTCCATTCAATCCCTTTCTTTCATCATATCATAAACAGTCCAATCACTCTGTTGAGCAGCTAATCCGTGGAGGCTCATTCTGAAAGTCGGGTCTGTCCAGTTGTGTTTCTGCCATAAGTTTTAATTCCCCTAAATCCTGAGAATGTCTGCTTGCTTAACTTAAAAAAACAAAAAAACAACAAAAAAAAAAACACTTTTACGATAAAGTTTTACCTAGGAAGATAGGAACCGCTACCTTTGGCAAAGCTGTCTGACCGTCCAATCAGAGGAGGTGAAAGTGCTGATGTCATCGTAGGCCTGCCAGCTGGCCCCGGGACCACCAACTCTCCATCTGATTGGTTAAAGCAACAGTTTCATTACAATGCATTTTAAGCTACACTTAACCTGCACTTCTGACTATGAAGGCTTCAGGGCAGATTTCTGTGACCCTGGCAACACATGATGGTTGACATATGATTGGATAAAAAAAAAAGCTCCAATATAAACATGCGCTGCTGGAAGCACCACAGCTCAGAGACACTATGAAAT